TTCAATGAGGTATTCCGATAACGGATCGCAAAATTTCGGCTGAAAATATTTTTTTAAACAATTTTAAAAAAAGGAACAGACATATTTCATATGACTTCTCGTTTATGGGCTTTGCCTACTTTCTTATTATGAATCTTAAACGTATCTTAATCGTCATTAGCATAATTTTGTGTTTGATTGAAAGTATAACAACATTTTAGTACTATGGCACACTTTTTGACTATAGAGTCGAGGAAAATGATATTCAAAACAAAAATATAACTTGTCTATACTTATGATTATTTCATTCATGACGCACAAGAATGGGAGAGCACGCATTCTTATCAATGTACTCAACATTTACAACAATGCAATACAAAAATGTAATTCAAAATGTGAGAAGTTTTAAATAATGAAAATCCTTCTTTTATTCATTTCTTTCCTGCAAATTTCACAGGAAGTCATAGTTTGTTTATATCTCGTGCCTCACATGCAATCTTGGATGTATGTTGGATGACTTGATTTTGAAATAAATCCAGAACTAGATATCAACTGTGGTGAAATGTCTACACAGTAGTTTTAATGGTTAACAATTTCATCGGGCATTTATATTGACGAAAAAGAGATATATTGTAATAACATAGCTATCTATTCTTCTAATAAAGAAAATTATGTCAATGAAATTGATACAATTCGCACTACGTTGAACATATTCAACGCTCATATAATTATATATATATACGAGGACTGTTCAAAATGTTATAGGACTAAGAGTCTTGCATCTTCATATTCAATGCAATTTAGAATATTTTATATATACAGCGATCATAAACTGCTTTCTTCAATTTAAGCAAAAAATATTAAATTATTGTACTTATCGCATGTTTCCTATGATATTGAATAACCATGGTAACACGCACCCGACGAAGCACATAAAAAAAGTTATTGAAGCTTAGTTGTACTTCTAATTTATTCATAATTTATTTTCTTTTTTGCCAAATATTCAACGAACAGAATGTATTATATTTAAATGACATATTATGCCCAAATTTGACGTCATTCAGACATGAAATGGCTAAATCATCAAGTTTTGAACAGCAGTAGTCATAACGTTAAGGTAGCTCGCTACTTTCCGACCGAAATATGACAACATCTCAGATCTTGATGATTTTTGGTATGCAAACATATAAATATGTGAGCTTTACTTCTGCAGTATTATTTTATAAATAAACAGCGTTACTATGACGTCAAAGCGCCCTCTATCGGTGGCGGTGAAATTGCGTCTTTTTTATCAATAAACCGGTCTGTTCTTATCAATTTTCATCCGATTTCATTCATTTTAATTTTATAATGTTCAGTAAATGTATGTCTTTGTAATGATGTCTTTCCTGAACATTTACTTAATAGTCTGTGATTTTACGTCATTTTTCTCAACGTTCTGACGTCCATATTTGATGCAAATATCGCGCGATATCGCAATAAAGATTGTGTAATAAAAAAAGTTCAACACGGTGAATTTTGCTATAATTTTCCGAGCGTGTAGTGAGATAGTGAAGGAAAATATTTATGCAATAAAAATATAGGGTCAACGCGTAAGATATTTTGCTATTACTGTTTTAAAATAAAATAACAATTTTCTTACGTCAAACATTACGATAGTAAGTATAAACAACACAGGGACTTGATGAAATGTATATTTTTTAAATTGTTGATTATTTTCTCATTGAAAGCATGCGCTAGATGAGCACATTTACAATGTTTGATCCGACAATCCCTTTTTAAATACTTTCCTAATTTGCAGGACACAGTCTCATACATCTTTTAATTCTAATTTTATAATGTGATGTTGTTAAAGTGTTATATTATTATATGAATTAACTAGTTTCAGCGCAAAAAAAAATAAGATTCACATATTGCTGTATGAATGAAGTAAGAATATTAGGTCGCTTAGCTTATACCCGTAGAATATTTATTTTACGTTACATTCAGCCTTTAAACACTTTTATAAAATCACTTAAAGGCAGACGAGCCTTGGTGTCAAAACACATCGTAAAAATACAATTAAAATAGATATGCATACAAATGTGCCGAAATAAGTGATAAATAAAATTCAGAAATAATATTCAAATATGTTAAAGGGACTCCACTGAGGTTTTTTGACATGATGGAACTGAAAATATTTTTTCCAGATAAATGTACCATTTGATGTAGGTTAAGACCATTAATCTTTGTGCAAAATTTCAGAGCACAATGATCGTTTTACAGATGTATAATCATCAGTCAGTTTACTTCTGATAAGTATCATTCTGACTTCACAATTCTTTCAGACCGTGATACATAATTACCACATGTGCTAGCCAGTGGTTTAGAGTTAATAGAAGGGTCACTGTTTTGTGGGAAACTATTATCAGGTAATTTGATGTTTTGTGTGCACGATGAATCAAGTGCATTAGATAGAAAATCGGTTATTTAATTTTCTTGGGTTTTGATAAGAAATTTTCTGTTGCGGCAGTAAATTGTGCCATTTTGTGTCTGTAAATTGTATTACATTTCTCCATTCTAAGCTGAATACGAACTGGACAAAATGTTCTTTAAATTATTAATTTTTAATTTCTAGGTATGTTAATTCCTTTCTCTTTGCATAGGTTGGTACCTTTAAATACCTTCAAATGATGCATGCATACCTTTTGTCATGCAAAATCTTTGAATAAGTCTATTAATTTTGAAACAAGGACAAGCTTAGAGAACAGGGTCTAAGGTTATGAAATAAAAACGGCTAACATTGGCTGGCCAGTTTGATTATCTTTACTAAAAAATCAACCAATCAGATTCTAGCTTTTTTGTAGACTGGTATCTAGTTTTTAATTTATAACCTTTGACCCAGTCTCCAAATGCAGCAGTTCTACTTTTGAGATATTTCCAGTATTACCTAAGAAACAGTCACAATTAACATTGGTTTTTGAAAATAAGTGGTGTTGAAATGAATTCTTAATATCAGTATTAGATTGATGATCATAGATCAAAAGCATAGCCTGAAGTATGGAAAAGAGAAAACTTTTTGTTTACAGATGTGACTCAATATTCTTATTTTACAAAAGCAACACATGAAGCTGGATAAATTATTATACACATGTATACATTTATTATAGTAAATATTGCATTTAAATGTAGATAAAAAAAATTATGCTCATACCGTCTTAATACTAAAAGTTATATTTTCACCAAAATTAGAATGAAAATTGTCTTAAATGATTGAATGAATACTTTAAAGGGCAGCTCTTTTAGAGGTATCAACAACACACATTTGGTATTTTATACCAGCTTTTGCATGAACATTATCTTGAAGTCTGTAAATGGTTATTCTAATTTTACAATGTTTTTGTTTTTTCCAGCCTGGTGCACGAAAGTTCCCACTAAAGACATTTATTGTAGATCTGATACATGAACCTGGAAACTTGCTACCATTCGACACACCTGAAGCACAAACCTACAAAAAAATCTAGTGAACTCCATAGACATTTTATTTAAATTGTTTTACTATCATTAAGTGAAGAATCCTCTGATGAATTCAGAGAAAAAATGTTCAACAACTAAATTTAAAAAAACAACAGAAAACAGTTTTATTTATGTAGAAAATTTTGTCTTTACTTTTATTCTCCTTATTTTCTGGCTTATCAAAACCTGGGCCGTTGAAGATTATCAAGTGTCATTGTACTTAACAGTAAATTCTGTGTAAGTTCGAGCAGTCCACAATTTCCTAGGACAACCCTCGTAAATATATTTAGCCAGTTATAGCAGCATTTGACAATGTTAGAAATATCTAAAAAAAAAAAAAAAATCTGGAAACTATTTATATCCCAACCCCTTGGTACTGAACTATTCTTTTTATATATTGTTGATTTCGTACTTGTTTTGTTTACACTGTTTTGTATTATATATTTTATAAATATTAATTAATAATAACTGTGATATGTCAATGATCTAAACTTATTTTGTAACTTAGAAATATAATATGTTACTTACTTTAGAAGAATATTGACTAGTATTATTGAAGCATTATGAAGCATGAAGTTTTGTTACTAGTTTTTCAGAAATCGAAAAAGTTCAAGCCATTTCCAAAGTAGTACTTTTCAATTTAAGTTTATATCACTGATAAATAATTATAGAAAATGTATGAAGAAATAAAATGAAATAAAAAAAGTAAAAACATAACTTTAGTTGATTTATATATATTATTTTTGTATACAAGAGGGCCATGATTGCCAGAAATTGAGGTAATAACTAATATGAAATTACATAAAGAAATAACTTTTGCACATGTTTCACTGAATCATCCCTGACAAAGTGTTTCGGCTGTTCCAGTTGTCTGGCTAGCTTCACAAACATCGTCACACATTTTATTGCTTTTTACAGACACACATAAAAACTAAAACAAAATAGATTAAATTTAGTCCTAATCATCAATTTGTATTCTCGAGCTACATTTTTTCATTTAGAACAATTTCATTTATTTCCACGAAATGGAATAAAAATGCTATAATTTATGACAACCAAAGTACTGCCTCGGCACTCGCAATACCACTTTTACCAATACCAGTAATTGACGCATAACCCGACTCTGGCTCGTATCCACAATCCATGGGTAGAGAGGCAGACACCTTAACCATCAACTAATAGTCGAGTCAGGGAAAAATAATGGAATTATCAGGGAAATTTATATAGAAATATTAGTGATCACTATTATGGAAAAGATGCTAGAGTTATGAGCCTTGTCATATATGGTGATGATAAAAAATTAAGTTAATGATCCCAAAAAGTACAATGATAAAATAAAAACTTTGAAAAAATTTAGACCAAATTGGAAAGAACTCTTGAAATATAGGTAGTAAAGACAAGTTAGATCAATATTTTGCATTTACATTGTGTATGTTAATAGAGCAATTACATGAACTATGAACTTCATTTCTCCCCCTCTGCTTTTATCATGGCTTGGGACATGCTAGTTACTAGAACTAGGCAGCATTGGAAGAAGTGTAGTTTTATAGTTAGTCCAATCACAAACACTATGTGTCACTTCAATATACTGGATAGTTTGAGTCCACACACAATGCTACACTTCTCCCCCACTCAGTGGCCAGACAGTTTCTATGGTAAATGTCACTTTTCGTGTCCATACACATGTAATTCCGGAATTAAATGTTTAACATCGATTATATTTCTCGTTCGACATGAAGAATCGGTCCTGTGAAAATAAAAACAGATTCATATCATTCATGGCAAAATACAAGTATTTAGGAGAAAAAAAATATTTCATTAATTTAAACAATTATTTTAGCTTGATTGCGAAACAAGTTCTTGCACCTTATATTAACCTCTTTCCTGGAACTAACCAGTACTGGTGTCATATGAGGAGTCATGATCGTGACCCGAGTCGGGCTCGAATCCATGATTCTTGGCTTGAGAGGCAGATACCTTAACCACTAGATCACCACTCCCCTTAAATAGAAGTTATGCAATGGATGTTTAATATATTAAATTTCTTCTACATTAATTTGTTAAAAAGTAAACGATTCATTATTAAAAAGAAAAAGGAAAATGTCTCAACAATATATATCTCGACAATGCACCCAATCAAAGACATGGTGCAAACTTGCCGTTTTAGAATATTTTCAGGATAAACATTTGAACTAAATATGACACTGAAAAACATTAGTAATAACTTAAATCATGCCAACAACTTAGATATTAAAGTACACTTATGTTATGTAATCACATTTTGCAATCGGGATTAGAGAAATTATTAATCAACAATGAAAATGACCAACAGCTATCTGTATAATACATTGATCATATAAAATTACCTGTGTGAATATTCTATAATGCTCAAATTAGCAAGGAGTATCACCTGTGAATTCCTGTTGTGCTCTGTTGGGATAATAAAATTTCATAATTAGCTTTTAGATAATACCAATTGCATCTCTAATAACATGGATTTTCATCGATTTTTTGATCGCCAACTACAGTAAAGATATATATATATATATATATATATATGTTAAATTTAGGTTAAAATCCAAGCACTTGTATGATATATCTGAACAATGTTCATGTGTATTAGAGAAACCTACAATCTTTTCAGCAATAAAATATAAATATTTTTATTAATTTTGCCCCTTTCAAATAATTCCGAGCTTTCTCATTGCATCTTAGCCCTTGAAATTAAACTTCTGCTTTTCTCACATTTGTCTTACAAACATCCAACTTATAAATTCTTGAAGGATATTTCTGTGAAATATTTGAAGGGTGCATTACCCCTCAAATGAATGTAATGATTATAATATCATATAAACTTACCTCTTCAATCTCGGGTAATCTTTACTGACTCATCATATCCAATTCCTTGACCATGCTCAGATCTACAAATAGTAACCTTTTTTTTTAGCTCTGATAAAGTGTTAATAAAGCATCCCAGATTGTTAAGTGCGCACAGCTTTTATAACCGCTTCTTAAAAGAACAAAAATGATTTAACCCTCAGCTTGATTATACCTTAAAAGAATTAAAGTTTGATTTTTTTGCAATCTTCACTAAACCTAAATTGATTCACATTACCAATTACTTTTGTCAAAAATTCTTTTTAATCAAATTACAATTTGTTAGGTGTTTTATTTATTTATAT